TTTGTTCATTCATGCTGAAGTAAATGCAACTTCTTACACCATGAATATGAAATAAATGTTGTTTTACAATTAGAATACATTTCTTAGTTAATATTTGTTATGAAATAATACATTTTATAATTAAATTATTAATTATTACATATTTTTTATTCAAGTAGTTATGCTACAAAGTTTTTTAAAAATATGGTGGTAATAAATAGTTGTGTTTTAATTAAATGTACTAAATGTCGGTAAACAACAATTTGACACAACTAATTGTTATATAAACCTGACAAAAATTAAAGAAAAAATTAGTTTTTCATTGTTCTTAACTATGTAATGAGCGTTCAAATAAAAACGTGGTCAAGTTGGTTCTGTAAATTTGGACGTAGGGCGTAGCGTATAGCAAATGAACTTAAACGTCATCTGTCAAAGCGCTATATCGCCGCTATCAATTTGAATATTTTCGTTTTAAAAAGCGTTTAAAATGGTGTTTTCTCAAGAACAAAAAGTGTTTATCATAGAGTCCTACTTTAGAAATGGACGCAAGATTGATGGAATATGGAAGTATTCTATTGAGGAATGTTTCATAGAATTTCAAAATCAATTTCCCGGCGTTGTTGAGTACAAAATTTTTCAAAGTGCAGTTCAGCGTTGTGTTAATGTTTTTCGTGAAACGGGCAGTGTAACAAGAAAAGAAGGAAGCGGCCGACCTAAAAAGCGGACTGAAGAATTAAAAGAAAATGTCCAACAAATAATGGAAAATGCGCCAAGAACTTCTGTACGTGTTTTATCACANGAAACCAGAAAATACGGGTCAAAAAATTTCTCACGTAAGTAGACTGTACCTACCTAATTTTTTTCCTTGTATTTCTAAATTACCCTGTATTTAATTGGATAGAAGTGGTAACAGTAGTCTCCCGACTTTTTTTTAGAAAACTAAATACCTATGTTAAAAACTAATTTTCAACAGAATATTTGCAAAATTTGGCTCCCTGTGTAATAGAAATTGACTTTACCGCCACCTCTTAATCGAATGCTGAACTATTGTATCATAAAATTGGGTAAAATTTTTACTATCTTGACAGATTTCTAGACAATGAACTAGACGAAGTTTGTGAGATAATGAACCTTATGTAAAAATGCCGATATGTTTTTAGGTACAGAAATTTGTCAAAATAACTACTTTTTTATATTTTTCTGTACACCTAAATATTCGTATGACATAAACTTACTTAGTGCTGCATATAAAATTGTTTACTTTTGTTTTATATGCATGAGAAAATCCATGTTAAGATGTGATATTAGGTTAGCAACAAAGGTGAGTCTAAAAAACGTGTTTTTAAAGTTATAATTTTATATTAGCAACTTTTAAATGGCAAGAATGAATAAACAAAAGTTTAAGGATTCTATTTTTGCATTTAGTTTTGTTCTTCATGCTTTATTTTTTGAGATTTCAATACCTAAAAACACTACAAATACGGATAATTTTTTGCCGGAAATATGGCCACCTTAATGAAATGTACTATTGTTCTGATCTATATGTATAAACATTATAGGAAAGTATCGACTTTCAATTTAGGATACTGGATTTTTCTTTAGATGAAAATGATTAACGAAGAGCGAGACATATTGGTGGACATTTCCGATGATGATCTGCCAAAACTTTTGGAAATGTATGATAAACATAAAGATTGGGCACCAACCGCGTACAGTACAATATTAACAGGCATTGAATGGAAAAGGAAGAGTAAAGAAAAGTACACGACATTTATGTCACCTCATAGCTGCTGGCGAGAAGATGGCACATTTTTTGTTCTAGTTACGGTAAATATGCAAGCCATACTGTCGAGAATAGTGTTATGGTTACTTATAATGGAAGGTCCCCTGTAACGAGCTACGAAATAGATTTGATAACATGTAACATATTCATTTCAGCTTACTGTATTTTAGAACTAACTCATAGATTAAAAGGAATTATAAGGGACATGATTTTCTACAAAAAGGAACTGTAATGTGCTGTTTAATTGATTCTCAAGTTATAGGTAACCATTTTCCTAACACTGCTGTTTTTTTTGCAACGAAAAACAATCCATTTTAATCAACATATATTTTAACACATTTTTAATTCCCCTTTTCAGTGCCATTGCTTCGATATATTCATTTTTTCCTTAGACGACACTGGCAAAAATATTTACGAAGGTATCCTGAAGACTAGAAGATTTAATCCTGGAGAATTCAAAGACAGGGATTCTTGGTTTTATATGGTACATAATAAGTTTTATCCGATTGTTTCAAAGGCTATTAAAGACAAAGGATGGACTTCAACCGCAGATATTCATTATGATATGTACAGTATTCCTAGGGAACAGGCTTTGAAGTTTGATACAGAGTAAGTCGACGCCTGAAACTCAGACCTAAACTAGTACATAAATGAATAATAGAATTTATGTATGAGAAGGAAGAGCTAAACCGAAATTTGCCTAGAACATTAAAAAGAAAGTTGTGATGATTCTCAACAAAATATTCTTTTGGAATTTAGAAGTTTTTTTCAAAATGTCAGAAGATGGCCAGATTCCAACCGATCTTCATACATTTTTTTTTAAAATACTCGTAAAGGCTTGTACTTTCATGCCCAAGTGCTATAAATTTGATTTGGGTCATATCGATTGAGTTATGTGAGGTTAGGTTGCCAAATTTCAATTTTTTTGTATTTTCAGAGAATAAAACGTTGAATATTAAGGGTGAGAGAGCAGTAGGGGTAATTTTTGGGCGGAAGATATACCTACTGAAGATCTGAGGTGATATACGTTTGATTTGGGTCATATTGATTTAAGGTTTAAGTTGCCGATGTCCGTTATTCCAGAAAGTAAACGTTGAAAATTAAGGATAAGAAAGTAGTGAAAGTAATGTAATAGGGAAGAAAGTGTACTTAATAAAATTCTGAGATGTCTTCAGTAGATATATCTACCCCTCAAAAAATTACCCCTACTGCTCTCTCACCCTTAATATTCCACCCTTAATATTCAACGTTTGATTCACTGAAAATACAAAAAAAATGAAATTTGGCAACCTAACCTCTCAAAACTCAATCGATATGACCCAAATCAAACATATACCATCTGAGATCTTCAGTAGGTATATCTTCCCCTCAAAAAATTACCCCTACTGCTCTCTCACCCTTAATATTCAACGTTTTATTCTCTGAAAATACAAAAAAAATGAAATTTGGCAACCTAACCTCTGAAAAATAATTCGATATGACCCAAATCAAATTTATAGCACTTGGGCATGAATGTACATGTCTTTACGAGTATTTTAGAAAAAAAATGTATGAAGATCGGCTGAAATCTGGCCATCTTCTGGAATTTTGAAAAAAAAACCTTAAAAAATCCCAGTGTGCGTTGGTGCTACTGAAAAAATGTTTATTACATTATACCTACAAAATGAGATGCGCTGGATCAAAATTCGTTAATTAGTTCTTGCAAAATTAAAAAAACAGCCAATTTTACTATTATTTTTTTTCAATTTTATACAGGGTAGTCCGAATTTTATACAGGAAACTTCGAGAGCAGATAGATCTGTTTAAAATAATAGGCGTTTGCCTTATAAACATAGGTTTGGAACGGCCTAGTTTCAGAGATACGGGGTGTTAAAAAAATTGATTTTTTATTTATATCTCCGGAATCTATTAACCGATCTCAATAAAATTTAGTACAGATAATATATGATAGTAGGCCACGTATTTCCTAAAATATAAGCTCTAAAACTTCAACCAGTGGTGTACAACTGGACAGGGTCACCTCCTTTTTTTTTTAAAAAAAACCTACGCCACTGTATTTTTTACGAGCTGTTGCAACGGATTTATATGCTAATGCACAAAATACGTAAAAAAGGTAACTTGAATTTTTTCCCTAAAGTTCGCCGTTCTCAAGTTATTCATATCAATACAATCTC